CAGGGATGCAACAAAGGAACGTTTATCTTCATGCAACTTTGTTTTGGCAGCCTCAACAGGGGCAGCTGAAACCATCGAGTGCAGAAGTTACAATTATAGAGTGCCTTTCTCCTCTTATAAAAATCAATTTAGTTTAAGGGAGAACTGCAGCATTTGAAACTGTACAGAAAGAGTACAATTTTTCTTTGTTTTTCTTGTTTATTTCTTTCAGAGAGAGGTTACAGAGTCCACATGAAGGGGAGACTGAACTGAGGAAAAACTCAAAGATGCTAAAAAAGAGAAGCAACAGGTAGTAAAAGCATTTATATGAGCTGTCTGAACACAAGAGTATCAAAGCATTCTTCTGGGGAATCTCAGCAGCTATAAATACTTACTGAGCTGCTCTACTGAGGAACAACAAAGAACATCAATAATAACTAAGAAATCTTCTTTAGCTACAGACCAAGAATCAACCCCGACTTCCTTCAGCTGTTAATAAAACCTTCCCACTTGGTTTTGATAAAGGGGAGCAAGGAAATCTTTAATATAAACCTTTCCAGATTGCTTGGGGAATGTGGAATGTGGAGGGGAGATAGTTTTAGACTAAGAATACCTGAGGAAAGTGTGCTTGTAGGAGAAAAGATCCACAGTAGGCTGGTTGCCCAGGTTTGGTTTGTGTCTGTCAGTAAGGTTTCATTACAATAGTGATTGTACCATTTCCTTTTCAGCCCTAAATGTGGTAGATCAGGTCTTAATATTTTGTGTTTTCTGCTTGGGACTAACAGAAATAGGGAAAAACGTAAAGAGTAACTAAACAGACCTCAGAGGGTATTGGTATATCCAAAGATTACGTTTGGTCTCGCTTTTGATATATTTTTGTGTTTCCAAGGCTACCTATGTATTTTTTTTAAATTTGTACAAAGATTTTTATAAATGTATTTCTCTATTTATCTCAGGTTTGAAATTATTATTTTTAGGAAGAATAAGACAAAACTGATTCACTGTTTCCTTTTTTATACTTCACTTTCTAGTCTTCTTCTTTAAAGTATGCTCTTTCGTTTCCAACATACTTTGTTATGCTCATTACATTTCTTATGGGAATTCTTCTTGTCATGCAAAGCAGCTAGTTCTTACTAGCTGTACAAAGCACCTGTATTGTGTAATAAATTGCTTACTTAAGCAATCTTAACAGCTTTCATGAAATTAATTTTTTTCTGTCTTTTTAAAGTAAATGTACATTTTGCTAACTAAAAGGCTGTCTCTTGGCACATGATGGAAGATGCTGCACCAGTTATGCAGTTTACCTCAGATAAAAGTGACTTTGCCAGGCATGTTATGCACAGTTGTTAAAGTGCCAGTTTTCACCTTGAACATTGTAAAAATACTTTTATATTTCTTTAATCATAGCATTTCAAGCGTTTGATTCTGGTATTTCAGTGTGTGGTCTCTATGGTCTCCCTGCCTTCCTGATCTAGACATTTTAGTTGCTGCTTGTTGGGCTTTCTGGTTTTTTAAACAGATGCAGCCTATTTACCTCTGAGCATCCTAGTTCTGCAGTGCACTCTATATAGGTAACAAGACGCTTTTACTCTTTGAGGTGATGATGCTCTAATGTCCTAACTGCTCCCATCACAGTTAGGATGAAACGTAATCACCCAGGCAGGGTCTCTAATTCACCTGAGCAGGGTCTCTAATTAACCCGAGTGAGGTCTCTAATTATCTGAGCTGGGTCTCTAATCAGCCAAGCGGAGTCTGTGATTATCGACGCGGGGTCTCCCCGGGTGCAATGACTCCCTTTGGCTAGGCAGGACTGAAGTGGCTTTTTCTCTCCCTCTAGGAGCACGGGGAGGTGCTGGTCTCCCAAGAGCAGGGCAGCAGTGCCCTCTGCCGGGCAGCCCCGGCGCCTTTCTCCGCCTCGCTGGTGGGGATGAGGGGCCGGGAGCACCCGCAGGGATGGGCAGGACCCCGCGGGTCCCCACTGGCCCCGGCCGCAGGCTCTTAGTATTCCTTCTTGGTGATCTGTTACTGAAATGTGCATGTTTCGCTTCCCCAACCACTACTACCCATGTACCTGCCCTGTGTTTTAAGGGATGGTAGAAATTCCTTGTGAGCCAAGGATTGTGCCTGGAGCATCCTTGTCCCTGAGAGAGAAACTGCTGAGAAGTTTTGCCAGCTGGCTGCAGGCTCCAGCCTCGGGGATGTCAGATAGGAGAAAAGGGAAATGTCTCAGTGTCAGTCACAGCTCAAAACACTTGCTTGATAACATAAATCTATAAAGCACTCTCTCTTTAGTTTATTCAGGAGAGGCTTGCAAGGAGCTTTGATCATGCTTTACCAATACATATCAAAAACACTACAGAAATTTAGGGAAAAAAGGCTATGTTTTTTTTTCTCCTTTTTTAACATCAAGAGTAGCAACTATTGTAACAGTTTATGATTGTGTTCAACCACATTGACAGCTTGATAACAAGGGTGTAGCTCAAATTCTAGGCATGGTGTTGGAGTTGTTGAGTGCATTGTTTATCATGAAAGAATCAAAATAGCCCATCTCAGCAGTCACTCTACTGTTGAAAAAATGTGGAAAGCCTTGTCATGCAGCAGTCTTGCTGGCAGGCAGCCTGGACCACTTAAAGAAGTGTGCAACTCAAAAGTTTTGTACTTGGGACCTTCAAGCTGGTGCCAGCTTCTGAGCAGTATGGGCAGTTTTATTCCTGACACAAAGTGCTCCTAAGTATGTAAAGCACACATAAGGTCCTTTGATTCAGCCTATGCACGGCATAAGCCAATACCAGGGCAAGCACCAGGTTAGCATCTTCATCATGGCATCTACAGCAGTCTTTGGGAGCCATTCCAACATCCAAAGATCCTTACGTACAACAGCTTTTTGGTTGTATTTCTTCCATCTGAAAAAAATGCACCTTCCATATGTTCAGCAGAGATTATGAAGAGCTTAGTATGCAGCTGCCCAGCCTGCCCCATGCTGTTTGGGAGCTGCTGCTGCTGCTGCACTGGGAGGGCTCCTGGTCCCAGTACCCTCACAGCCGTGCCCACTGGTGTGCTACAGAGGCTCAGGAGAGGGGACAAAGGGGACAAAGCAGCATTGCAGTCACTGTGAAGTACTTGCAGGTGGGCTTACCTGTAAGTTGTGAGGAAGCAGCTTCTAAAACAAAGCTTTTTAAAGATTGTATGATAGTATATGACTACATTTCAAGACAACCTTGCAGGTTCTTCTCACTGTGCTGGAAAAATTACAGAGTATGTGATTGACTGGGGGTGTGTGGAAGCAACAGTCATGCTGAGACCTAACTACTTTACCTGTATCACTGCAAATACTTCATGAGTTATACAATGCTCAAAGAACCAGCATCACAAAATCTGCATTTTTACTGCATTATAAACCTCTTCCACACAGTTTATTTTTAATTGATACCTCTCACTAGCATCACTGAAACATAATCTGAAAAGCTTTTGCAAAGTTCATCAAAGTCATGGTGGAAAACTATCCTCAAAACTGTTTGTTCAGATGACTTAAGTCTACATGGCAAGAATTAGCTGGTGCCAAGTAGACTTGCTCGACAGTGATGGCAGAGTCAAAAGGGGGCCTTTTGTCGTCGTGCATTAAGCTGTGCAACTCCTTGCTCCTGGAAGCCATAAATGCCAAGATTTTACATGGGTTTTAAAAGCACCTTGACAAATAAATTCATGGTATAAAAATGCCCTGACAGCCACAAAGATGCTTCTGCTTCTCAAGAAATTGCAAGGCACTGGAAATAAGGGAAAGTCTTAAGAGTACTATTAGGATCATATGTTTGCTCTTTTATTCTGGCTTTCTTTTATGCAGAGAACATGGTCATCTGACCAGCATAAGGATTCCAAAGATAAGCATTTAATGGCTGGGACAGCTGTCAGTTTTGGTGCAGTCATCATAAGACAGTACAACATAATTAACAGGCTATGCTACAAACACTGAAATTCAAACATGTAACTGCAGTGCTCTGGAGCAGACTGTAACACAAGACAAACTGGTCAACTCATTCAGGAAACAATCCATGGATCCAGCCTTCTCTTCCACATCAACTGACTGACAAAAATAGTCCTCAGGCTGGTCATCAGGGCTAATTTTTAAGGGGGCTGCAGTTGGCAATACGGAAGAGCTAGTTTTACATCATTAGGACTGTATCAGGTATTAAAAGGTCATAGCCCTCTTGCATATTTTTAGAAGCTTGATGATTCAAAAAGCATGAAAACCTTGCATTGTTTTCGTGTCATTAACAGCAGCTCCCCACCTGCAAGTGTCCAAACTGAACATCTCCCAGCTTGGTGCTCCTACAAGGGAGCAAACTCAAGGGTAGTTTCCTATTCTGCAGATGTGTTCAGCATCACCAGCTAATCCACATTTTATTTACTGTTTTACAGATGTAGGGGCAGGGCAGTGCAGTGAAATAGGACTTGAAGTGGTAAGAGAAGCACCACTAACTTACCTTGCTTGGTTTAATGCCATGTACACATGGCATAGCATGTGCCAGCTGTCTGAGTTGATCACAGTAACCATCCAAGTGAGGCATCCTTCACTTCACCTGGTGAACATGCAGTAAGTGCTCCAAAAAAAAATGCTGCTTCAATCACATCCAGGTCATATTGCATGTCCAGAGTGGAAAGACCCAGGCCCAGGACAGGATCTGCAGGCTTCCTGCAGGCTGTCTTTCAGCAGCGGCACAGGAGCAGTGGTCAGGCCACAGGGGCTTATGAACATCATGGCCACACCAGCCTAATTAATTCTTCTTGGAGAAATCATTGTGGAGTTAACCTTACCTGACAAGTACAGTCTTGTTCACACAGAAGCACTAAACCATGAAGTGCCTCAAACACCCATATATGTATTTATTCATAAAGACTTCACCCAGGAAAATCTTAACAACAGTGGATTTTGACTAGCAAAAAAGGGTTCTTTGGTTTATAATGTTGTTTAGTGCTTATGAAAAATGCAATGTCAGTTACTAGTACACAGCAATCATTTGTCACCAAAAGCATGACACGCCTCCTAGATCAAGTAAACATTTAATTGGAGGTAAGCAACCATTGCTACCTGCACAAACATATGCAAGAAAAATCACTTAAGGAAACTTCAACTAGCAGTTTCACATTTTTCACACTGTATTCAGTTTGCCACATGGTTTCACAAGCCATTTTTTTCTGTTTTCAGGGTGAGATTACCAGAACTGTTGCTAGGTCTATCTGTGCCAACACAATTTGTTTTTGCATGGAAAGGATGGACCAGAGCTAAGTGATCAACCATCCCAGCTAGATAAAACCATTCCACTGGCACCATGCTGCTACAAGACTTT